CTAGAGCAGGGAATGTGGGGCTGAGACCATAGGAAACTTGAGACTGCAAGTAGCAGATACCCAGCCGAAGCTTTTTACTCAGCTAAAAAATACTTTCCTCTGAGAAGTCTGGGCACAGGTAGTCCAGGGTTGACTCAGCACCTCAGAGATGTCATGCTGCCGGTCAGCCCTCTGATAGTCTTCAGCTCTTCCTACAGTACAGGACAGTGTGTCGTCAGGAGTGGCAGAAGGGAGGCTCTCCTCTGCTGTCTTACACCCAGAGGCCTGAGCTGGCTGGGATACCACCAGGAAAGAGACCGGGGGAGCTGGCATTGGCACTGTGGGCTTTTCCAAGGAAGCCAGCCTGGCTGGCAGAGAATGGCACCCACGGCAGCTGCCCTGATGCGGGTGCTTTCTCTTCCCTACGGTTGCTGAAGTCCATTTACCAGCTGTACAGAGCTGGCGTTAAAGGGTGAAATCACAATTTAATGAAGGAGTATTTTTAACATTCGTTTCTGTATAGGCTGTCTGCCTTTTACAGTAGATGCTTAAGAACTCTCTTCATTAGTGAGGGCTGGTCATAATTCAGGTTGGCCAGATGAAAGCTCAGGCTCCTGTACACATGTTTAAAGTCTCTCTCTCTCCTGTATTCGGGCAGATCTGAGTGTCCTTAGAGAAACATTGGCCCAGGATTTCTCAACCCCACATAGGATAAGATGATGTAATGTGCCTTCTAGAACTCTTTAAGCATTAAAACTATCTGAGGGCCGGGGATTTAGCTCAGTGGTTCTGCTGCCTGCCTCGCAAATGCAAGGACCCAAGTTTGATCCCCAGTACCAAAAAACAAAACAAAAACTATATCTGAGACCATCTGGAAGCACAAGCAGCCGGCATTCAGGTCATAACTCCAGATTTTGTTCGTAAGTGAAAATCTAAAATTCTGGTTGTAACCCACCTGGTTCATATGTTAGGTCCTAACTCAAGAGTCCACTGTACTTTGTGGTTGAGAGCTACTTCTTAACAAATAAAAGATTGAATTATTTCTCTTAAACTTTAAAAAGATTTAAATGAAAGCTCTCTGGCAGCCATGAAAACAGATGTACCCATTATGTACTTTGCAGGATCCCTTTCTGTCATTATTACCCAATCAGCAGCCCTCCAGGAGCCTTCACATGTGTGTCAAGGGTTCCTAAGAAGAAGAATATTCTAAAGCAGAGCTGTGTTTGTTTTAGAGTCTAGAAACTTGGACCGTTTTCTGACACTTGTTTTAGTTGTAAGGTGAACCTGGACACCAGTTCTGATTCCTGAATGATAAAGACTGGCTGAGTGGAGCCAGACCTATGGCACCAGTAGCATAGATCCTATTGGGTATGGTGGTGCACACCTGTAATCCCAGCACTTTGGAAGGCTGAGACAGGAGGATCTCAAGTTCAAGCCCAACACAGGCAACTTAGTGAGACATGATCTCAAAATTAAAAATGTAAAGGGTGCATGGGAGGACTGGAGATATAGCTTAATACAAAGGGTCTGCGTTCAATTTCAATACCAAAAGGGGTGGGGGGTGTGGAGAAAGAATCATCCTCAACTAAGAAAATTACATGGCTCAAAATGGCCTGGGGTTGCAAAGTAATGCTTTATTTCTTTCACTGGATAAAGTTGGAATCCTTGATTCAGTGTCTGTAATTGCCAAGGTGTATATTTTTATCCCAGTAAAATTCACACTTGTAGTAAAATGACTTTTACAAATTCAAAACACAAGAAGTGTCTCTCTTAATACCTTTGCTCATGAGAAGCAGGGCCGACAAGGGGAAGGCCCCAGAGAGCAGCCCTGGTGTCATCTCGTCTCCGGCAGATCATTCCTTCCTGCATTTGCACAGCACTCACAGGTGCCTGCCATGATCTTAAGCTGGAGGTGAGGAAGGGAGGCCCACCTGCCTCAGGCACTCGGTGGCGCTCCGGACAGAGTGGGCTGGCCACAGCTGCCTCCCATGCGTTTGGGGCCATCGTGGCTCTCTGATGGGCTGAGTGTGCTTTGTGAGGTTAAGGGGCTTAGTTTCTAAACTGAGTTAGTGTAGTAAAATCACATCATGTCCCATTAGCTGTGTTTGATCTGAATTACAGGAAATGCCAAAAGAAGGCCTCCCTGTCCTCCTACTTGATGTTTCAGAGCTGGATTTCAGAACAAGTGCTTTGGGAAAATTATTATTTCCAGAATAGCTGAGAAGACTGACTCAAGTCAGTGAAGTCTGTGATTTACTAGAAGCTATATTTCTAAAAGCCTTGTTTTCAGTGTTAAAAAATAGTGTTTAAGTCATACTTCTAGCCAAACAAAAGAAAAAACCCCATTCATTTATGTACAGTCCTTGCAGAGTTGTCTGTAAGATAGGACCTAAAAGAGAAAGTGGAACTTGATGTACAGCTTAAATGCTCCTCTTAATTAACTTTCCCGTCTATCTGAATAGGAGCCCACTCTAGACTTCACCTCATGAGCACTAATGAACCGTGACCTGCATAACCCAAGAAATCTGCACCTCCCATCTGTTGCCAAGGCTCTCTGTGGTGGCTTTGGGTGTCCTGTAGTAAGTGTTAGTCTCTCAACCAGCCCATCCCCTCTTCCACGCACTGTGGGGGAGCCTGTCAGCCGTGGGCCAGGCTGCTCCTCTGCCTTAGCATTACTGGAAGAAAATCCTGCCTGCCCCGGAAGTGTCTTGCCTTAGTCCTGCCGTCCTGGGCTCCCTCCGCCCCCACCCCGTCTTGCTGTGTGATGTGCTGCCTCTGCATCCCCACCACCCCCACAGGGCCTCTGCTGCTTTCCCAGGTTCCCGAGTCCACAGGCCTCTGGATCATGGCCCTCAGCTAGGACTTTCCTCATCAGAAAGATGCAGAAAAAGTGTTTTCCTAACAGGTGCATTCACGGCGCCCATCCTGGCCATGACAACCTGAAAAACAGCAAGAGTTGTAGATTACAAATTTTCATTATATGAGCCCAACAATCTCGATATTCTGGCTCAAACGTTCAAGGCCTCACAGCAGCAGTGCTTCCCTCCCTGTTTTGGCACCTGGCAAGATTTCCATTGGCCCTGGGCAGTTGTGAGGCACAGCGGTGCTTCCTTGGTAAACAGCGTCTCTCGTGTGTCGCTTGGGCTTACGTTGAATCACGGGAAGACTTTTAGAATAAAACATCTTAGAAGAGCTGGGTCCTGTAACAACTTAGTAGCTGTTAATGGCTCTTTCTGGGGCCGCCCACGGTGGCATGAGGCATCTGACCCCAGGACTCCTGCCGGGCCTGGGCTGGCCTGAAGGTACACGCGGGGAGGCTGCACAGAACCGGTTTCTGGTAAACAGTGACAAGTGTGTCGCGGGGTGGAAAGCAGTGTTTACAGTCCTGCGAGCCGTTTAAGCGTGCAGACTTCCCTTGAGGGCCTCTCGGTCGGTTTCTCAGTTCCGATAGCTCCTTTTGGTTCAGGCGGGCTGGACTAGAGTCGGAACTGCTGTGTTCAGGGTTTCTACGGCAGAGTTTGTCATGCCTTGTGCAGATGAGCGTTTCTGTTCTAATTCAACGTGTCTGCCGAGAAAGTCGAGTTTGAATTGAAATACTGGTAAGTTGAATCCATCTTAAATGCAATAGGTACTTTTTAAGAAACCCCTCAAATAAGTTATTCTATAATCACTGCTTGAATATTAGCTTGTAAGTTTATTTCTCTAAATACAGATTTTTTTCACTTACTAAAGAAACATTGACTTCTTGCTTTATAATTTAGTTTTCCCCAGTTTTATTAAGGTATAACTTGTGTGTTTTCAAGGTATGCAATACAGTGATTTGTCTAACATTGTGAAGTGATTACTGTAATTAACATATCCATCACATCCCTCTTCTTAAATTAGGAATAGTTCTTTGTCAGTTTGGCTTTCAGACTATGTTAAACAATCCCACTGAATTTGTCTGGCGCAATGAAAATTTGGAAGATTATATTTGTTAGTGGAGCTGAGTAGTTTAATAAGTATGTTTTAGATTCCTAAACATTATTGAAGATCCATGTTATCTTAATTACTTGCATTATTTTAATAACGCATATAAAATGAAAATCAATGAAGTTCCTCAGGGTGAATTATTAAATAGCCATGAGATGAGCCAGACTAACTTCCAGGATGATTTGGAGTGTACTGTTTATTGCTCTAAGCAATTACAGTTGTCAAATATAAATGTTCAAAGTACATTTTCATTAGTATGCCATCTATGTCCAGCTACTTCTAAATGCTTTGTCTTCATACAGTGTCATTCAATAAATGTTTAATAGGAAGGCTTATTAAAGTTTTATTTATTATACTTAATTTGAAAGAATGGAGATGAAGATAAATCACTGGAAAAAATATAATTGAAATAATTTGGAGTACTGTTTAAATCAATTTCTTTGTTAATACTAAATGTATATGACCACAACTTAAGATGTGTTCAAATATATCATTGTGAGGAAAATGAGGAGAATAGCTTATCTACCCATTCCTACATTATTTAAAAAAGAGTATTTAATATGTAGGACAAAGTATAGATATTGCAATCACTAGCTAAAAATGTGTTATTATAAAAAATCTTTTAGAACATTGACAGTTCTTGTCATTGACTTTGTATATGTTTATTATCTCTGTAATCTGTGAAAAACAATATAGCAAAATGTTACCAATTTACCTACAATATGAAATAAATTTTAAGATTTTAAATAAATCACTATAATTAGTTCAGATCTCCTCTCCTTGCATATAGGTAATGTGGAGAACCATATATTTTTCTGAGCGTGTGATTCGATCAAGGCTTGCACACTGATGACTTTCAGTAAAATACCATTTGTAATAAGACGTGTGGTGAGGCCAGTTGGAGACTGCTGGGTCCTCCGATGGGGACAGAGCAGGGCGCAGGTTCTGATGCTGTGCAGGTTCTCCCGCATGATTCTTCACTAAACCACAGGCAGTGCCTTGTCATAAGGAAACTTTAATGATTTTATGTTTTTTTACTTCACCATTAGGCTATCAGCTGCAAAGGCCAGCACAGCATCTCCTACACTTTGTCAAGAAGCCAGACTGTTGTGGTGGAGTACACACACGACAAAGACACGGATATGTTTCAGGTATCAGCTGGCTTTGTTCACGGGAAATGGGTCACATTGTTCCTTTACTTCTGTATGTCAGTGTTGAACCAAAACATCCAGCTTGGTGTCAGATGATGACCAGGGAAAGAAGTACGGATAATATGAAATCTATTATCACTTGATTTTTAAATGGTGTAAAAAAACTTAATTCTAAAAATGTAAAAAGAAATTACAAAGGCCATAGTCTCACAGTAGTACAATAAAAGTAAACATTAATAACAAGAATGGAAAGCCTTAACGCCAACCAGTTTTAAAAGCCAGCATATGAAAATACTTCCAAAATACCATGAGTCAATGGAGACATCAAAAGAACAATTCCAACCCCGTCAGAAATGACCGTGGGCACACTGTATAGCAGGACTCGTGTAACGAGGGCAACTCCTGACTCTCTCACAGAAATTGTAGAGCTTAAGTGCTTTTATTATTAAAATTTAAGAAGCTAAAATCAAAGTAGTAAGTATTTATCTTGAAAAGTTATTTTGAAAAAGTGACACTAATTAAAGTATGGGTTGGTTTCACAGATAATTTTAGCAGTATATAACAAAACCCAGAAATCTATTGAAAGAAAGCAGAAGAGTAGAAAGAAAGCCCCCATCATCAATTAATGAATTAAAAGAGACTTTATAAATGTATACAAAATTTGCTACTTTAAAATAACAGAAGATCGGGCTGGGGATTTAGCTCAGTGATTCCGCCACCTGCCTCGCAAGTGCAAGGACCCAAGTTCGATCCCTGGTACAAAATCATAATCATAATCATAATAAAATAAAATAACAGAATGTTAAATTTTAGGCTAATAAAGGAAAAAAAGCAAAGGTAGTGTGGAAACAAAAAGACACTGCATTTCTATCTAGAGAGTTAAATTATTATATAAATAAAGTTGAAAGAAATGTCAGATAATTATGACAGATACTAATACAGTATCATAATTCTTCTGGAAAAAACTCTGAAGAAAAGAAGTGTTTAAATGTAAAAATTGACGAACAAAAGTCCTGAAACAAAATATAAGTGACTTTGTAGTGTTGGAATAGCGCATGATTAATACCGAATAAAGAAATAGATTTTGCTTTATACAGCTTGTCTTTCTGAATGTGAAAAAACTAAAGGCAAACCAAGTAGTGATAATTTAGGCAAAGAATCAAGTAGATAGAGGAATGATACTCGTAGTGTACTAATCATTTTCCACACTTTAAAAGTGGCCAAAGAAATAAATGCAGATCTGAAAAGAAGATATGACTGGCAAATAAATATATAAAATAATATTTAAAATACTAAATCAATAATAAATTCATTATGTGTTGCATATACTAGTTTAACAGAACTATAAACAGCTGGGCATGGTAGCGCATGCCTGCTGAGGCAGGAGGATTGCTGCAAGTTTGAGGCCCGGCTGAGCTACGTAGTGAGTTCCAGGCCAGGCTGAGCTACATGGTGAGACTCTGTCTCAAAAAACAAACAAAACCAAAATAACTACAACCAGAGTTATGCTTCCAACAGTAGGTAAGAATAGGTACCATAAGGCACATTTAAATACAAAACACAATACAGCCAATCATGAATATTAAACAGAAACTACTATAAATAAGGCAAAAAGGCATATGCCAGTCTGTACTTCAGGTTTTTTTTGGTACCGGGGATCGAACTCAGGTCCTTGTGCTTGCAAAAAATCGAACTCAGGTCCTTGTGCTTGCAAGACTGGCGCCAGAACCACTGAACCAAATCCTCAGCCCTGTGCTTCCCTTTGTAAATGCACACACTTAAACATTATAGTAGAAAAATGAGAAAGATGCGCCCCAGCTTCTGTGTGCTCTTTTCTGTAGCATCGTGGCATATGCATCCTTACCCTGACAACCTACACCAGTTATTTCAACCATGATCGAAAAAGAAATAAAACTCTATCGTTTTTAGAAGTATCCATAGTGATCATGAATGTCAGCATCTCAGACTGCCAAGAAGAACTAGTCTAAAGGAAAGGTACCTTGTTTCCTCTTTCAAAAATTGGGAGAAATAATCTATTTTTCCTTATGTTTATTAAATTAAAAATTAATAACAAAAACACCAGATTAGCTATCTGGGGGGAAAACACTGTTTGAGAATTCATAAAATTCCAAATTTAAGCTTCAGAGATTTTTCTACAAATAAAAACTACTAGAAGAAAACATGAGAAGATGTTGTATAACTTTAAGTAGGAAGAACTTTCTAATTCTGAAATAAGACCTATAAACCATTAAAAAGTGATTGATAAATTGTTTTTAGACAGTTAAATTTCTGTGCAGCCAAATATAGTAAAGTAAAAACAAAAGGCAAATATCACCAGGAAGAAATGTTTACAGTTTGGACTGCAAAGGGTTAACAATCTCAGATAACTCGAAATCAGCAAGCGGTTGAATAAAGAAGTCATCAGAGGATTTGACAGTTCATCCAAAAGGGAAAACAAATGGCTCTTACAAATAAGAAAATATATTCAATGTCATTTCTTTAAAAAGAATGTGAATTAAAATCACACAGAAATACTGTTTTTTACTCTACTAGATTGGAAAAATTCCAAAAGGCTTTGTCAGAGATGTAAGGGAAACACATAGTATCCTACGTGCTGTATGTTGTTTTACACTTGGAAACATGTGAAAACTATGAAATGCATACCTGCTGTGACTCACCTCTTGTCTCTGTTTATACTCTTCTCTAGTTGCTAGAGACTTAGCCAGAGATACCCTTAGGTATATGTAAAATAAAATCTGTACAAATAGGGCCATTTTGGTAAATTTGGGATGAGAACAGAAAAGGCTTTTTGTACAGGATAGGAAGAGCTCAGAAAGAGCTCCAAACACATTAAATGGATTAAATACTAACATTGTTAAACACATTGAGTCTCGTCAGTAGTATTTGATTCTGTTAAGATTACTTAATGTTCGATGTTAATAAATTAATGTATTATAGACAATAATGTTAGGTATTACATTAAGTGCCAAATCAGTATAGTCCAATGGATTAAGTAATGTTCAAGTGCATTAACAACTTCCAGAAGGACACACACACCTTGATAACATGGCCACCTTGCTGGGTAGGGGACTGACGAGGTGATGTGCACAGAGGGTTCACACTGCTTGATTTCAGGACCATGTGAACGTGTTCATTATTACAAGAGAAAACCTAAATAATCCTAGACAGGTGCATGACAGACATCGTCACAAATACAGACATAGTTATTTAATGCCAGTTTGAACTAAAGTGCAAGATTATCTAATTTGGGAAAAACATTAGCAGTGGCTTTACTCACCGTACTATTCCAATAGTCCTTCTCTTCTCTTCTGCCAGAGAGCACCTTGTTCTAATTAAATATATGTGTACACACACCCACATCTACACTCACTCTTCCCTTCACAACTGAGAATTCTCGGCCTTCGAGAGAAGCTTAGAGAAGACCTTAGTCACAGGAACAAGCCTTAAAGCTCCTGCATTCTTTGTTCTGTACACGATGCCAGCCCAAGCTAATCGAATAAAACATGGTGAGCTCAACAGGAACGTATATACTTCTTAAGAAGACTACACATCCATCCACAGACTAACTGGACATGTGGAGGATTCGTGTCAGGTCATTTTGATTTAAATGCAAATCTTAGGAGGCTTTGGAAAGACAACTTGTTTTAATGTTTTACCGTTTAACAGGTTAGTACCTCTAGAGCCTGCCGCTGATAAACCAGCACTACAGTGCTCATGGTTCCCAGGACAGACTGTGGGGTAAGGAGAATATCAGAAGCAGCCAGCAAAGGGCCAGGGCAGAAGTGAATACAGGAATCAAAAGTGAGAGAGTCTGGATTAATATAATCAAATAAGAGCTTAGGACTTGCAGGGGAGAGGTAAATAAAGGAAGCAGAGAAAGAGAAGCCTGATGTTAAAGTAAAATGTATGGGAGAAAGTGGCCCAGTGGCATTAGAGGAATGACAGGTGTCCCCAGCATCCCCACGTAAGGTGAGAGACCAGTGCATTCAGGCCCCAGGCCGAGAGACTAGCCAGGCCCAGGCCAGCTGAGTGCACTTTCCTCACAGGTACGAGCCTGGCTGCCGCAACACCTAGAATTTGGGGGTTTGGTTTGGTTGGGTTTTTATTTAGTTGACTATAGTTTAAGATGGTAGCATTTTATTATCATACATTTAGTTCAAGAAAAGCTGTTAAAGTTACATATGGTTTGTCGATAGCATTTCTTAAACTGTTTTATGCAGGGTGTGTGTGCATGTGTGCGTGCGAACACATCTGTGTCTCTTGGGCCCGAGCTCACTGTGGTCATCCTCCACTCATCTTTATTTCTTGGGCATCTACCGCATCAGGCTCTGCCTGGTTTCTGGCATCGAGAGCTGCAGCTCTGCCTCAGGGAGACGATGCCTTGGGGCCGGGTCAGAGCCTGGGGTCAGTGAGGCATGGGCAGAGTGGTTGGAAGGCTCGGCACCCAGACCAGTGTGACCTGATGCACGTTGTTCGACGTCGCTGGATGGAGAAGCGTGTCAGAGGAGTGTGAGCACGGGGACTTGAAGGCTGAGGCGATGGTGACTGGGGAGAGGTGGCAGGGCTGAGGCTGTGACCTGAGGGACAGCTGGGAAGGGGTCAGAGGGATGTTGTGGACACGGCAAGACTCGAGAATGAGTCTTACGTTCAACTTCAGCTGCACCCAGTGAGACACGAGTCTGTCACTGTGGAGGGAAACTCAAGGACTAGAAGGCGTGAGAGTCCTGTTGCTTCAGAAGCTGTGAGTTTAGGGTGCTTACTCACATCCGTGGAGAATGTGTGTTATCTGGGGCTGAGGGGACCGGGACTTTGGCTCACGAATGGGATTTGGTGCGATTACCTGGGGGAGACAGAACTGCAGTGCTCTCTATTCTAACACCAAGTCCGGGTGTGCTGGCTGCTAGAAGCCCTGGAATCTGTGGGACCCTCAGCATAGGGGCTCGAGAGACAGGCAGGTGGGAAGCCCAGCAGGATGGGTGAGGAGGGAAGTTGAGATGGGTGAGGAGACAGGTGGAAAGAGTAACAGTCTTTCCAAGAGAAATTGCTGGTAAGGGAATCTAAGCCTTGGACTAGAGCTGCAGACCTGCTTGCAGGCAAAAGAAAGTATTTCTAAAGAAGGAAAACTACTCAGAGGTGATGGTGCATGTCTCTAATCCCTGCACTCTGGGAAGCCACAAGAGGATGGCAAGTTCACACCCAGCCAGGGCAGTTTACCAATTTAGCGAGACCCTGCCTCAAAATTTTAAAAAGGGCTTTTTGGATCTAGCTCATTGCAAAGCCAAGAGAGAGACAGAGGTGGGGGAAAGGGGAGGGAGAGAGAGAGAGAGGGAGGGAGGGAGACACTGTCCTCAGTGATGGGCAGGGCACTCAAACTACACCCTTGCAGCAGTAAAGTGCTTTCAGGGATACAGGAGTTAATGAGTACAGGGGAAACTTTTATAGCAATGCATCATTGCTTAGACACCTAAGCAGAGTAACATTTTTCTAGTGCTTTTTTTTATTTTTTTTTTTTTATTTATTTTTTTCTTGTACTGGGGCTCAAACTTGGGTCCTTGTACTTGCAAGACAGGCAGCGGAACCACTGAGCTAAATGCCCAGCCCTCTAGTGCTCATTTTTATTACATTTTTTAAAGCATCAGTAGTATTAGTACCAAACAACAAAACTAGTTCTTAACTGTGGTTTGAGAAGCTTCACAATATTTGAGGGCAGGGTGCAGGAAGAGGGGACAGTAGCGGCTCCAGAAACGGGACAGTCAGGAACAGAATCCAGGGAGGTGGAGACTCTTGGATGTTAGGCTGCTTGGGGAGTTGGGTCTTGGGTAGGAGGAGCGATGCTTCATTAGTCTCATGGCAAGAGTCTGAAACTCAAGTTACAGGCGGGAAGGGAGGTGCAGAAGGCTCATCCATGATTTAGCGAGCTCACCTGGTGTCCAGGCAAACCCATACTCTCCTCCAAACAAAATTTAGTGCATGTGGGATGGAGGGAATTCTTACCATAACCACTGCATATGAATAACAGCCAGCACTCTAAGAGTATCAGATGAAATTCAGAAATATTTTGGCTTCTGTGCCATTGGAATATCAGTGCAACTCAGAAACATCATAGCTTACAGACATGACTGCCTTTAAAATAGTGTGGAGCTGATTCAGTAGAATACCAGGTTTCCCACACCAATTCTGCAGTAGGAACGTGACCGAGGTTCCTTTTCTCTTGAGAGCCCTGTCAGGCTTGTGTCCTAAGGAATACAGTTTTACTGGCACTCCAGAGGGTAGCCGTAAATGGGAGCAAATGGATAGACACGTCTTATGTGGCCAGCCAGGTAAGATCATGACATAATGAAATTGATCCTACCAGAATGGCCATGCTTCAAAAACTGCTAGATAGCTTCACCGTAATCCAATTGAACTTCTAGTAGCATATTTTGCAGAACTTGAGAACACAATCAAAAAATCATCTGGAACAAGAAGAGACCTAGAATACCAAAAGCAAGTCTAGGCAACAAAGACAAGGTAGGGGGTATCACAATCCCCAACTTGAAACTATACTACCAAGCCACTGTGATAAAAACAGCATGGTATTGACAAAGAAACAGACCTGAGGATCAATGGAATAGATTAGAAGATGTAGAAACAATTCCAGACATACTCAGCCACCTCATCTTTGACAAAGGAGCCAACCATCCTCACTGGAGGAAAGATAGCCTCTTTGGAAAAAGTGGGTTTCAACTTGCCAAAGATTAAAACTAGACCTGCATCTCTCACCATGTACTAAACTGAAATAGAAATGGATCGAAGATCTAAGAGTTAAAACAGAAGCACTAAACCTGCTGAAAGAGGAGTTAGTTAGAACTCTCAAAGACATTGGCATAGGAAAAGACTTAATGTGCAAAACCTCAGTCACATGTGAACTAGCACAAGAATCAGCAACTGGGATCTCATCTTACTAAAAAGCTTCTGCACAGTAAAAGAAACCACCAACAGAGTGGAGAGACAACCCACACTGTGGGAAAAAATTTTTACCAGCTGTTCCTCGGAGAAAGGTCTACTATCTAGAATATATTAAGAATTTAAAAAAAAAATCATCACCCCCAAATATAAAGACCCAATCCAAAAATAGACATCTAAAATGAACAGACATTTCTCTGACAAAGAAGTAGAAACATCAGATAAACATACAAAAAAATGTTCTACATCGCTAGTCATTCAAGAGATGCAAATAAAAACAACACTGAGATTCCGCCTCACCTCAGAAAGAATGGCTGCTATCAAGAATTCAACCAATAGCAAATGCTTGCAGGGCTGTGGGGAGAAAGGAATCCTGTCTATGGTGGGTGGGAGTGTAGACTGGTGCAACCCCTGTGGAAATCAGTATGGAGACAGCTCAAAGAACTAGAATTAGAGGTCCCATTTAACCCAGCTGGCCCCTTGCTGGGTGTCTTCCAAAAAGAATTAAAAGCATCATAGTACAGCAATGTATGTGCTCCCCTGTTAATAATGGCAGAGATTGTAATAGCTAAAACTTGGAAACAGCTCAATTGCTCATAAACTGTGACTGGATAAAAAGGTGTGTTTTTAAAAATGAAATGGAGTACTACTTAGCCATAAAGAATGAGAAACTATAGAGACATTTATAGCTAAATGGATGCACATTTAGGCCGTACTCTTAAGTGAAATGAATAGGACACACATGTAAATACAGTATAGTGTCTCTGAAAGTGTAAGTGGGGGTCAAAATATATAATAGACAATGTTAAATAGAAAAAAAGGTCCAAAGGGGAAGGGGAAGTGGGAGGGGTAGGAGAAAGGAAAGGAGGGAAGTGAAAAAAAATGAGGAAAAGAAAAAATGGAAACAAAGTCTTTGTAAATAAGAAGGGCAGGGGGATGGGGAAGAAAATAAGAACCAAGGTGCATCATGTAAAGGTACACATTCCCAATGGTGAATGTCATCATACTGAGTACCCACAATGTACCGGTAAACTTAATGAGTTAAGAAAAAGAGTAATATTTCTACCTGAGTCCAGGAAATAAAATCTAGAGTGTGTGGGAAATTTTAATATTTTCCTCCAGAATAGAAATTGAGCTTCCTCTTAATATTTAAAATCTGGTGGACTAAACAAGAGACATGGGGCTTCAGGTGAGTCCGTGCTAGAGATCTGTTGTACTGTGTGCGCCTACAGTCGGTTACTGTGTTGTGCCTTCAGCTTTGTATAAAGAGGTCAGTTTCACGTTTCTTGTTCTCACTGCAATAAAGTTAATAAATATTTTGTTTAAAAAGATGTGATGGTTGCTGTGGTTCCTCCCTTTGTTAAGTGGGAAAAGGAGCGCACTGGGTTTTTGTCTTTACCTTCTGACCCCGTCCGCTCCCCGGAGCCGTCCAGGTGAATCACAAGCTGTTGGTTTGTCCAGGTGGGCAGGTCAACGGAAAGCCCCATCGACTTTGTGGTCACGGACACCATCTCCGGCGGCCAGAACAGCGAGGAATCCCAGATCACGCAGAGCACCATCTCCAGGTTCGCCTGCAGGATCGTGTGCGACAGGAGCGAGCCCTACACCGCACGGATATTCGCTGCTGGCTTCGACTCTTCCAAAAACATCTTCCTTGGAGTGAGTACTGTTAAGGAGGGGGTGGCCTGAGAGAAACGCTCATTATCAGGACAGGGAGGATTTAAATGGGGCAAAAAAATAATTGCAGCGTGTGGTACCTGTTAGGTTTAACCTGTTACTAAACACCTGGAGACTGTGTGACGTGGCTCATCGTTTGGTACGTTGCTCTACCAGTGATGAAAGGGACCGTCATTATTTTGTTACAGAATATACCTTACATGGGGCGTATACTTGTGATGGATTCCAGGGGGTTATGTTAGAAGAAAAATAATTGGCCAAATCTGGGTCATTAGGGTTCAAAAGAAAATGCTAGCGAGTGACTCATTCATTCAGAAATGTTTTATTAAAGGTTTGTTGTGTTCCACACTGGGTGTTATAGATAGGGCATCACAGAGACCAAAGTCCCTGCCCTGCTCGGGTCTCCTTGTAAACGAGCCCCGGAGTTTTAGTGAACAAGTAGCTTTGCTACAGTTCCCTTCTGAATTGGGACAAGTTTCAAGGGAGAGAACTAGCTCCTTGTGGCCTCCAGGTAATAAAAATGTTGCCCCGCGGACAAGAAATGCAGAGGAAGGCCACTCCAGGGGCCTGCACATCTGCCTTGCCCTCTGTCCCTGCCACCTCCTCCACAACTGCACCTGCCAGCGCCTGCCCTGTGCCTGCAGCCCTGCAGCAGGACAGCCTATCAGAGCAGAGTGGCCAGGCCCCCAGAGGGCCGGCCACCGGGAGGGCAGGTCTGTCACTCAGGAGCCACCATCCTGAGCAGAGTCCATCCCCAGCCCTGCTGTGTGGCCTGTCCCTGGGCTCTGTCACCGGAAAGGAAGAGGCAGCCATGGCGATGCAGGCAGCAAGAGTGCCTGCCTGCAACGGTGCCCCCGCTTCTGAGGAGATCCATGCTGACTTGTATGGAAACAAATGGCCACACTTGTTGGCATAACATGTTTTGTAATGGTGGATTTGATAAAAAGTCTTTTTATGTGATTGCCTTCCTCCTATGCCCAGATAGCAAGCGCACAGAAAGCGTGTTTATATAATCAGGCAGCTCTCCACAGTGCGCCTGAAGAAGAGAAAGGTGGATTCCCCGTTACCTGGGCCGTGCATCATAGAGGGAGCCTGAGCGTCAGGCTTTCTGTAAGCACCTGAGGTGAATGTACATCCAGTGATAAATGGTTCATCCCTTTTAGCATATCTTTCATAATCAGAATAATTACATCTTTTATCCTGGAAGGATTAGCTTTAAACAGAAAATGCAGGCTTACCCCTTTCCGCCCCTCTGCCTCTGCCCAGCATCCTGAAGCTCCCGGACCCCCTTGTTGTGCGTGTGCCCTCAGCCTGCTTTGTGTGCCCTCCAGGAAAAGGCAGCGAAATGGAAAAACCCTGACGGCCACATGGACGGGCTGACCACCAATGGCGTCCTGGTGATGCACCCAAGAGGCGGCTTCACCGAGGAGTCGCAGCCCGGGCTGTGGCGTGAGATCTCAGTCTGTGGGGACGTGTACACTCTGAGGGAGACCAGGTCGGCGCAGCAGAGGGGCAAGCTGGTGAGTGGGCCTCCGGGGCGCGGGCGCGGGCCGCAGGGACCTCTGTCTTCTCCCGTGGTGGAAGCCACGTACCCATTATCCCCACTTCCGGAGCCTCGTCTCTGTTCTGGACCTCACCACATGTCTGCTGAAGCTGTTTTCTGAAAAACAAATGTAGGGCAAACCTTTACAAATTTGGAGAATCCTGAGCAGTCCAAGATCAACTAATGAAAATTTTGAGTGAAAGAATAACTGAGACTTTCTAGAATTAAGGAATAGTTATCTTTTTGTTCTTAAATTCGTAGTAAAAAATTAACACAGAATTCTCTGTGTTAGTCTCCAAAATCATAGTTATAATTTTTCACCTGAAATACACTGACATGGTGTGTCCATGTTTTTCTGTAATGACCATCACTAATCGGCATGCCCTGCCACGGTTGGTTTTGGGGGCCTTTCTTCACGATTGAGTCTAAGTCCTCGTGAGCTTGGGACTTCTGACTTGGCTGTGCCGTGTGGAAAGCCTCTCCACATCCTTCCCGTTTGTGCTTCAAGCGATGGTTAGGTGCAAGGGTGTGCCTTTATCTAGAAGGTGGGGAAGAAGGAGTTCTTAAAACCTCCCATAGAAAAGCATGCAGGACATGGAGGGTGTGATCCAGCACTTACCAGAGAAAAAGATAACTAACTGTTTCAAGGCCAGAAAAAGCAGATGGGCACCATTTTGAGGAGCTGGCCAGTTGTTCTCCCCAGGATGCTTATTCACAGGAAGCTGTTACTGCTGTGTTTTCCACACCAGGATTTGGCTACAGGCACAGCCTCTGCACCTTCTGGTAAAGCCTCTGGGCATCATGCCTGAGTGACCCATGAGAAGCATTTTCTTTAAAAGCCAACAGAGTCAATAAGTTTATCAGCCGCTTTTCCAGAGACCATAAGTGGAGTTTGTGAAAATACTTTTCTTTAAAGAAAAAGTGACTTTGTCTCCAGTTGCTCCACAGTTTCACACAGGGCTGGCCCAGTGTCCATGCTGGTCCCCATCAGTACACAGCAAGGGGGAGGCGGCGGCTGCTGGGTGCAGTTCATGCCGACAATGCAGCGCCAGATGCCAGCCTCCGAGGGAACGGAGCAGGCGAGTGTGTGAGAGGGCGTGGCACGAGGAAGGGAAACACCCAGCGGTGCAGTGAGATGGCAGCTGCGGGCGGAGCTCACACTCGAGGCTCCTGGTTGAGTCTGGAGTCCTGATCGCCACGCAGTGCCGTCCCGTGGGCAGACACTCCTGGATCTCCTGGGAGCTGGTCCACTGGAGCAGGCACTTCCCTGGGGACGTAACACAGACCCCCGAGTTCAGAGAGCTGGCTGGTCCCCCTGGGAGTGTGGCTCAGCGTAGGTCCGGCTCGTCTTCTGTGGTCCCTTCAGCATGTGCTGCTTGGCCTCCTCTGCTCGCCTCCCTGCGGCCCCCATCTACTCCTGACAGGTGCAGACCTCTGTTCCGGGAAAGCTTCCTGACCTGTCTTCCTCAGTCACAGCAACGAACAGTGCACATGGCTCTCACTGCGTGCCACGCCTTGTTCAGGGAACTTTTCTGTGTTAACATCTCTGCCCCTCACAACCACCTTATCCACATTTTACAGAAGGAGCAGTTGAGGGACAGGGTGCTTCCAGAACTTACTCAAATGACGGAGCCAGGTCCAGAGCTAGCAGCGAGCCCCAGACTCCGTGCTCTGAGCTCTAGTGGGGCAGTGGCCTCAGGAGCACCTTGCTGACCCCGTAACCCTGGCTTTGGGCAGGCCGCCTCCTGCTCCTGATGACAGGCTCTGCTTTATTGGTCTGTGAACACCCAGGGCTCCACAGGCTGTGACCAGGGAAGCAGTGGTCAGTTCCTGCTGCCCACACCTCCCTGTGCTGCTCGTCAGCTGTTAACAGGACCTGTATGACTTCGTGCAGACACAGGCATCCTTTTCAAATTAGGCTCGCGGTGAAGGAGTGGGCCTCAGCCCTCACAAATGAAGTGAAGGTGGGTTCGAGGTGCGTGTAAAGCTGAAGGACACAGAAGTGTGCTGGACACTGCAGTAATGGCTGCAGCCCCCCATGGGTCCTCTGCCAGGGCTGCGGTTGGGAGGAGTGTCCGTCCTCAGGCCGTGCACCTGTAGGCCGCTCTGGCCCTAATGAGATCTGTCAGCTAACCGAATCCAAGTAAAAACCTACCGAGACTTGTGAAGTTCCTGAGACCCATGGCATTGACTGGGCTTCGTGCACTGGACGGATGTAATACATCTGATGTGTACTGAGGAGACAGGCTGCTCAGGGAAATAGGCTGCTCCTGTGCTCCTGACATGAATCGCCCCTCGCTGTCTTCAGCAAACGTGGCATTTGGTTTGAGAGGAGAGTTGGCGAGGTTTGCTCCATGGTTGGCATGGTTTTGCTTCTAAAAGGTGTCTCTCTGTCGAACCTGTTGCAGGTGGAAAGTGAGACCAATGTGCTGCAGGACGGCTCCCTCATCGACCTGTGCGGGGCCACTCTTCTCTGGAGAACAGCCGACGGCCTTTTCCACGCTCCCACACAGAAGCACATCGAAGCTCTGCGGCAGGAAATCAACGCCGCCCGCCCTCAGTGTCCTGTGGGCCTCAGCACGCTGGCTTTCCCCAGCATCAGCAGGAAGGAGGTAGTGGAGGAGAAGCAGCCCTGGGCGTATCTCAGCTGCGGCCACGTGCACGGGTACCACAACTGGGGCCACCGGAGCGACACGGAGGCCAATGAGAGGGAGTGTCCCATGTGCAGGACAGTGGGCCCCTATGTGCCTCTCTGGCTGGGCTGCGAGGCAGGATTTTACGTGGACGCAGGACCCCCGACTCATGCGTTCACCCCCTGTGGACACGTGTGCTCAGAGAAGTCTGCCAAATACTGGTCTCAGATTCCGCTGCCCCACGGGACCCATGCGTTCCACGCTGCCTGTCCTTTCTGTGCCACGCAGCTGGCTGGGGAGCAGAACTGTGTCAGGTTGATTTTCCAAGCTCCGGTTGACTGACGCCCTTCACGGCCGTCCCCGGGCACTGTCGACGGTTAATGTGAAGACTTCACCACTGACTCTAGACCCAACTTTTTGTAGTGCCCTTCACGGAAGGGAGGGCATCCTGGGAAGCGGGGAGACCCAGTGCTGCGCCGCACGTCCTGGCAGTGTGTTGTGTGTTCCAGGTGGTGCCATCGCCACTGGCATCACGGGTTCAACCAGTCTCTGTGTGATCAGTGGCGGTCAGCTGCCCTGCTGTTGTTCTTAACCCAGGGTTTTTAATCATGTTTTTTTTTCCCCTTTGTAAACTCAGACGAGATTTTACATCCTATTTTGCAAATGTATGAGGAAATGTGTCCTCACGTTGGCTGGTAGCATGTATCCGCGGTGCCACGTTCCAGGTGTCACCTGAAGACATGCACTGTCTATGCCCACAGGTGGGCCTGGATCCGTCCAGCCCAGGGGCAGACAGGCAGGAGACATTGGATGCAGGGCTTTGTTCTGAAATGTGGGCCTCTTCTCTGGTTTATTTCAATGTTGTAGGGGAGCAGATATTCATGTATGATTGTGGGCTTTTTCTTAGTGTAGTGGAATTTACTTACACACTCATACATCAGATACTTGGCATTCCAAACAAGAGAATTTTCCATGATCTGGTTTTTATGTTTCTGCTCAGTAGGCTTTGTCCCTCAGCCTCATCTTGTGTGGCCAGAACTGCTCGACTGAGTGAACCCAGCAATGCTCGCTAGGCAGCAGACTGGTGAGGCTGTGCTGCAGCCTCAGGACCGTGACGCCAGCTCCGTCTGCACACTGAGTTATTTAAGGTTTCACAGCGATTCATGGTGCACTTTTACTTTTTAAAACCACTTTTGGGGTTCCCTCAGATTTCCTTCTTTGTCGTCTTCTGTAAGTCAGGATTGTGTGAGCCCAAAGGCAGCAAACGAGAGTGAGTGATGCTGTTATCTTGGTTCACTCGCTTCCTACCATGTGTCACCTTCCCTCACAGCTTCAGAAGGCCTCGGTTCTCAAAATGTTTGCAAATCCTACAAAATTTAAATGTGACTGTTAGAGGTCCCCAGCACCGCCTGATACATCTGCAGGGACAACTGAGGCATAATTAAATCGGAATTTGATAATGAGCTCCCCATCCCCCATGAGCCGTCGGTGTCTTTTCATTTTGGTGAATAATTCCTGGGCGCTTGCTTTATGTGCTCAGCACCAGGAGAAGCCGAGAAGCTGGCTGAGCCAAAATAGGTCCCTGCACCCGGAGCAAATGTTCATTTGAACTAACATCCTCCACAGTGGATTAGCAGATATGAACTACATTTTCTAACTTTTGTAAATATGTGTAATTTATATGACTCTTAATATACTATATTCATACTTGAATTGATTTTCCCATATTTTGCCTACTGGCAAGTATTTGCCCATTTTTAATCATTCTAACCTGTTTGAATACTCTTTTTTCTTAAAGCGATATCTATCTATCTTAATTGCTGCTGCCTAATTTAACTTAATATTTTAAAAGTTCAGCCTATCAGTTTTAAAATAGCTTTATTTTTCAGTGGAGATCATTGTTTATGATGGGGTATTTTGTTGGGGGTAATTTTTAAACGATGTAAAAATCCAACACCAGTCCGCTTCCTGACAGCTTCCCCTATTCTGCGTAGCTTTACCTGCAGACGCAAGAGAAAAGAGAAATGGGTTTGCCTACAATGCTGTATTGAATGTTGCCTGGCTTAGTCAGAGTCTCCAGTAACTAGCTGTCCGTGAGAGAGTGACTCTTGCAGTTGTAATCTTTGGGCTCTGAGGAAGATGAAGGAAGTCCTCGTTACCTTGTCTTGCTGTATGACTGGAGATCACCTAAGGATTCTTGATTCCCACGGTCGTCTTGTAAGGTACATGGCCTTGCACCCAGAAGGACTGCATTTCATCTCCCAAAACAAGAGATGAAGTTATGCTCTGATGCCATGTTCCATGTTCATAGATACGTCCGTCTAGTAATTATATGGGCACCCTAGCCCTGAAATGAGGTTACTTTCAAACTTGAAAAGTTCTTACCTGTAGTAAACTCATAGCTTAAGTGCAAGCTGAGATTTGAGCAGTAAACTCTTGGTAGGGGTAAGAGTGCCGCCCCGTGTCAGCTTCGTGTCTTCTCCTCGGTCTGCCCAGGGGCCCACAGAGAGGTCAAGCAGCTGCAGAAAGGAAGCCCGGCTCCCTCCCTCGGCTGCTCCGAGAACGTAGATACCCTCATAATTTGGACTGATGAGATTTCTCTTCAGACTTGAAAGTTGGTTTGCGAGAAGGAGCGAGCTCTAGCGCACCGAAGTAGAATGATGCGGTAAAGCAAAGGTAGCCTCTCCGAGGTCACTTCCGCTTTCTGCCTGCTCCAGCGTCCCTGTCGCGCGCCGCCCCAACCTGCCCCGTGCGAGTCCCCGGCCAGTGTCCGGTCTCAGCCTGGCCAAGATGCCTTTTTTGAGTAGGTTTCTAGAAGCCCCCAGCAAGTATTCCCATGGATAATTTTGTTCAGTTGTCAGTTTACTACAAACAAAAAAAGATTCCAAGTGGATGGTGTTCAAGTCTGAGTATTTTTCTAGTCTGGAACTTTTTATTCATAATTGGTGCTGCCGTGTCATGCATGCTGCAGTCCTCAACGTTTCCCTTATTTGGTTCAGCTTTTTGCAGCAAAGGGCTACAGTTCACACTAAGTATTAAGCTTTCTGGGTCTTTTCTCCCCCTACTGCGGCCCAAGAGAAATTCAAATCTTTTAATATAAATAACATATTTATCATTCCTTAGTAGTTAATTATAGAGTTTGGTACCTTTGTGCCTCAGGGAAGCCACGTGGTATAACTGGTTTTAGAAATTCAGGGTTAGGGTTTAAAGAAAGGAGAAAGCCATTGAGGAGATGATGGGCTCCAGTGTGGAGGTGAATGAATCTGGATGCAGGAACGTGCCAGGAACTGGCGCAGACGTGACTGCAGTAGGAAGTATTTTCCAGTACCAGTGGGGAAATCAGTTTCAGTTATTACATGTACTGTATTGGGAAAGTTGAGGAGAACTTTTTTTCATAAAACTTCAATGCCTTTTACTTTCGCTTACGTAGAAAAACGCAAATCTCTTGTTTTCTGGGAGCTCGGTTTTGTTACTTGGGCACTTTTAGGAGTTAGGAGCTCATGTTATGCTTAATTTAAATGGACTATGGGTTATAGAATTGTCTATAGTTCTGATTTGCTTAACTTCTTTTGGAAAGCCGTTCCGTTCTTCGGATGTGCAGGCTTGTGTGAGCACACCGGCGTCAGGGCTGGGTAGAAACTTGGCGTCTTCGTGTGAGCTGCCTCCTAATGGTGCAATTTCTCAGAGACAGAGCAGGGAACCTGGCTTTGAAGCCAGATTCCACTCTCTGTCCCTGTAGTGCAGCCTCCACAGTGCTGCAGCTCCTCATAGTGCGGGACAGCGGGCCACTCGGCTGTTGTCTTCATGACACAGAGGCAAGGGAGACAACTTCAGGATCTTTGTAAAAGAATGTAAGCATTACTGAAACAGTCAAAGAAGGTTCAGTGTTTTCTTTTTACTAAGACATAGCCTCTCGAATAAGTTCTTCACCCTCATGAAGAATCCCTAGAGAATGGTTAAAACAAATATTTTTCCAATTCTATTTAACTATTTCTTAGTATGTTTCTAAACAAACAAAAGTAAACTCAATGAAAGGGAAGTTGTTTCTCTCAGCTGACGTGAATGCTCGCTTCTCTGTATTAAATAACCTAGAAGTGGGGGGGGGTATATTTACCATGTAGAGTGTTAGGAGCAGTTAAATTTTATGAATATATTTGTAAAATTGTTTTATATTTCATGTTAAGCTGAAAAGTTTATTTCTTCACTATTGTACCTGTGGAAATACAAGCCATTTTACAGGAAAAATCTTCAGAAACTATTAAACGGATCTCACTATGTTTGTGAATTACTGTCTCTAGACTCTGGTTGTAAAACTGGCATTCAGTAAGAGGGTATGGAAGTACATTTGATTTTTACATCACATCCAAAGTAACCTCAAATAGTGGAGCTTTATTTTTTTATTCTACGTGATACATATTTAAATCTGGATTCTGAAAGTTCTTTGAATTTTCTATTGAAATTCAGTTGGTGCTCGTATTCTATTTCTTATGGTGCTTAATTACGAGCTAATAAATCTGACTTCCAGGGGAATTTAACCTGGTTTGTAGAATTAAAAGAGTTTTCTTCATAATCATTAGAATCATGGTGCTACTTTTGTGACAGTCTTCATTTTTTTTTTTGTACCAGAGATTGAACTTCTTCATCTATTTTTAATAACGGTTTTCTTTAAGCCTTTAAACTTTACATAATATTCCATAAGAAAATACATTCAAGACAGCTTTTTTTCTCATCACCTTGATACACAGGTGTGTTACTATTGTTGAGGGAAATCGATTTTTTTAAATACACATATATGCACTTTAAGAAGTTAAATATTCCATACTTTATCAAATCTAAGGTGCAGTGAAGTGTATAATATGCTACTACAGAAAAACACCCAGTTACAATTTCCATGCACATCCTGTGAGCCCTAGTCCCGAGGCGTCGACTTGAGTGCATTCCAGCCGCCCGGCATGCTGGTGAAGCCCAGTCTGGATCTGTCTGTGGTGAGTGATGTGTGAGCCAGCAGACCACGGTGTGAAGCCCACCCGGTATCGGTGGTACCGGCGAGGGGGCGTGAACGATGGGAAGGAGGAGGAAGCACGCCCGTTTCTGAAAGCCCAGCTTCGCCATCCCCTTGGGGATGGTCTCGTTTCTCAGCCTTCTGGCGCATGCTCACCAGCAACTCCACAGTGAGCTTCTCGGCCTCTGACGTGGGGCTGGGGAGGCAGCCTTGGCTTCTCTCGTGTGGCTTCCCTGTCCTGAGGCTGAGCTGCCGCTGGGCCCCTTGACTCTCCCAGCTCGTACACCTTGGAGAGCCACTGGGGACTCTCCCCTTCTGATGCCCTAAGCGTACCCAGTAAATTCCCTCGACTGCACACCTTCCATGGATTCTTTTCTTCTAAAGAACCCTTCCTAAAACACATCCTGTCTAGCAAGGGCACCTAGCTATTCAGTGGGGAGAGATAAATTATAACAAATGGAACTGAATACAATTGAAGATCAGCAGGCAAAGGGATGAAGTCAGACCCGTACACACAAACCAAATTAAAACTTCATCAGAGAACAACCACCACAGAATTCATCTAGAGGAAAGTAACCTTTTTAACCTTAATTTAGTCCATGATTTCTTGAGTACTACACAGCAGAAGAAAAAAGACAAATCAGGCTTCATGAAAATTGGCAGTTCTGTGCATCAGGGGGCGCTGTCAAGAGTAAAATGACAACTGTCAAAGTGACAAAATATTTGAAGATCGTTTATCTGACAAGAAACTTGGACCCAGAGTGTGTAAAAAAAAAAACCTTAGATCATTAATAAAAACACGACCCATTATAGCATGGTTAAAGACTTCAGTAGACTTTTTCCAAAGAAGTTATACAAATGGCCAGAGAGCACATAAGAACCCCACTCAGCGTCATTAACCATCAGGGAAATGCAAACTAAAACCATACGATGCCCCATCATAGCCACTAGGGTGGCGCCTGTCACAAAGACAATGTGGCCAGGAGGCTGGAGTGTTGGAGCCTCACCCTTGAGACTGGGAGATGCTGAAGCCGCTTAGGAACAGGGTGGCAGTGCCTCAGAAAAGGTAAGATAAGCAATAACCGTGTGATCCAGCAGTTCCTTTGCTGGGCGTATACCCAAGAGGACTGAAAATATTCATAAAAAAATGGACATGAACATCCAAAGCAGCACTATGAAAATAGAAAAAAGAAAAGAAGTGGAAACCACTAGAAATGAATTCCTATCTACTAGGAAATGGATAAGTGAAATGTAGTGTGCCCGTACAATGAAATACTTGGCTATAGAAATTAAGTATCAATATACGCTACAGAGTAGATGAACTGTGAAAACAAGTGAAACATCTAGACGTAGTGTTTATGTCATAAATGGGGAAACTCATGGAGACAAGTTGAGTGGTTGTCAGAGGTTATGAGGAAAGGAATAATTATACAGGGTCTATTTTGGGTGATGGTAAATGTTCTAAACTTAGTGATAGTTGTGCAACTATAGGAACATACTAAAAGCTATTGAATTACCCCTTTAAAAGGATGACATACTATATGAATTGTGTCTTATTTAATACATCCTACATTCAGAGACCCTAGACTGCAAATTTGTGTCTTAGAATTGAAATACCATAATTTGTTTATTTCAGATGAAAATATTTAGGATCCTCCAAATTGTATCCACCTTGAGAGATGTTTTCAATAGTCTTACAAGATAACTCACTGCATCCTAACACATTTCCACTTGGTATTAAAAGAAAACGTACACAGAGCCCTTTCAAAAAGACTAGAAGACAACTTCATGTGCTTAAAGACCTGCTGCGTTTTTGTTTCCTATTAGGCAGAAAGCACTGAATGCTATTCTGAAAGGTCTCAAAGTCTACTTTCTTTATGAGCTATTTTTGTAAATGGATTCTTTTGTAATCAAAATAAGGACCACTATAGAGCTATTATAAAAAATTTAAAACCTAGGAAGTAGAAAGGGAATATTAATACTTAGAAACACATCTTTCTAAATTAAAAAGAAATTTTAATTGTGACTTCAATTTCATCCTAGCCACAACCCAAAAGGTTGTTCTACATAAACTTTGAAATGTGGCTTTGGGAACAGGGGACATGATGACTGCATGTGTGTGGCAGGAATGCGTCTTGCGGCTGACAAAATGTGGCCATGGTTGTTAGGACTGCCAAGCTGGAAACCTCCACAAACCACTCTCAAACTAGTGTGCCACGCCGAATACCCACTGCCACTGTTGGACACACCCCAGGTGCCCAGATGGACCTCTTACTAAGCATCACTTCCTTCTTTTATCTTCTAAGTAGGATCTAGTCGAAGAATGCTAGTTCTTAGTTAAAAATGGCATAATGGACTGTTTGTTGCCTAATTCCATGTCCAAACAAGCTTACCTCCCTTTCCTAACATTTCCTTGAAATGCAGTTCCTTAGCCACATCTAGAGAGACTAGCACTTTAGTGTTCTAGTTCTGTCTGGGGATAATCACCGACAGTCAAGATGACACTGCATGTGATGCAGATCCCATACTTTGAGAAATTCTTCAACTAGCTGATTATGTTGTTTGTGTGCCTCCTGTGGTGCTATCATTATGCTATTTGGTCTGGAGAGACCCAGCACAGTTTCCTGGGGACTCTGTGCAGAGGAAGACTGATGACCTCACCAGTCAC